TATCTTCGCAATGCTGAAATTGTTTTTTAAAATAATAAACAGTGCCGACTTCACAGCCAAGAATCGGAGTGATAGTGTCTGTAGGCTTTGATCATTTATGGAAAATTTAATCTCACGTGTAGTGCATTTATCCAGAAGGGATGAAATGTCACAGTTGGGTTTCCTCCTATGTGTACACCACGTGCTCCTGTCAAGGTTATTTAGAGAAGGTGCCTGCCTTTAGCTTGTTATGAGCACACAAATCCTGATCCAGCCCTAATGAACAGTGAAGATAACCTTTGTATATATATATACGTCTAACCCAGGCCAAGGTTTCCTTCTTCCACAATGAAGTGTATCGTGATGATAAAGACAACATAGAAAGTTTACCATGCTGGTCATTGAGTGGAAATGTACAGGCCCTGTTAAAATTACCCATGTGGTGTCTGATATTTACATTAGAAATGCTCTTCCCTTTGCAACTCAGAATGGGTCCTCACATATTAAGTGAATACATTGCTGTATGAAAAACCCCATATGGGGCTTAAGAACTTGGACAGCTGGCAGATACATGACAGATTCGGGGGAAATTCAATTTTCGCTAATGGCAGGGATACAAACACAGTCTTATTGTGAGAAGTCTTCATTATCTAGTTCTATACAAACAGTGCTGATACTGTACGTCAAGGTATCACATTGATGAAATTGCATTGTGGAGATCTCGTTCCTTTAACTATTCCTTTGTGTGACTGTTTTGCATGTGGTAGGCCCCAAACCACAAGGAGTTTGAAACCAGATGGCAACAAGTCGGGCTGGCATTTGGGCATTAAACTCAGATACACCAACGCAATTGGCATAAAGAAACACAAGAAATTAGTTTTTGCTTCTAACTTATCTTTTAATCTGTCTATAACAAAGTATTTAGAGGAAACAAGCAAACAGATTTGTTTCTTACTCAATTATGAACTCCGTCCTGAACCACTCTTTACAGGTGTCATAAGGAAGAACTCGATATAGACATGAATATAGTTATATAAACAGAATGAGCTGTGTTGTGTTCAGAAGAGCAGTTTAATTATGCAATAAACATTGTTGCCTGTTACAGAACAGTACTGGTATTTATAGCCATGTACCAATGAGTGATAAGACCTTGAGGCCTTACTGTGCTTTTTGTAGCACAGTACTACTTACTGTGCCTTACTGTGTTTAAAAGCTGTTAACCCAGAATCGTTTGCACAAGTAATCTAATAAGACAAAATGTGCCTGTTTCGTATTATAGTCAAGGTGGAAAACACAAACTTACAAGCTTCCCTGATTTTCCTCCCAGTGGTTTCTATCAGTGAACCAGGTGCAAACATTGGTCTTGGATTCCTGATTGTAAACCCTGCTAAAAGCTTAAGATTGATTCTTCTTGCCATGGTGATAATTCTGTTTCCATCCACCAAAACATGCAGACTGGAGGAGGCAAGCATTGTGTCTGGAAATCTGTTAGTGGTTGTCATTGTTCAGAACTTTCAATGGTTTATAAATTAGTAAGCAGCTGAGAAACCCAAGACTCTGATAGATGGCATTCTCCCTTTCTTAGTGTCCTGTTATTTATTACCAAAATATGCTGATTTGTCACCACATTATAGTCGTGTGCCAAACAAAACTGCTTCTTCTTCTTTGGAAACGGTACAGTGCTCTATACTTAAATACAAGGTGTTAAGAAATTAGAATACAGAACATATGGTGGATATTGGCAAAAATAAATTCTGCTACTGTGTGAGTGTGTGTGTGTTTAATGCCTCTTATAGCAAGAGTGAGTCAGCACAGACCTTGCACATACAGTAGACTCCTGGGCCTGGTTGGACCTGTACCATGCCCTATTGTCTGGAAACTGAAAAGCTAACTCCTTACAGTGCACTTTGGGCTTTGGTGATCTCCTCACTAAGTGAAATTATAGTAAGTTGATCTGCTAGTGTGAGAAAAATCCATGTTATTTATTGGATGTCATAACATGACATACAAAGAAAGCGTTTAGATGGCTGTATAGCTGAAGTAGCACATTGTTTGCACAGACATTTGCTTTTAGTCCCACTTCTCAAGCACGCTTTCCAAAAAGCCAGTGCTGTGAAGGAAGGTATGGGGGGATGGTGAAATCTTATTTTAGAGCAATGGCTCCTCTCTCCCTCTCCTCCTGTTCCTCTCCTTCTCTCCCCATTCCTCTCTCTATCTCCCTCTGTCCCTTTCCCTCTCTCTCCCCCTCATTAGCTCTCTCCTTCTCTCCCCCTCTCTATCTCCCTCCCTTTCCCTCTCTCTCCTTCTCCCTCTCTCTACCTCTCTTCTTCTCTCTAGGTATTATTCATAAAAGAAGCAAGCAAGTGATGTGTTTATTGTGCAAATAGAAAACTCTGAAGTCCATGTTAAGTAATAAGTGCTGATGTCAAACATTCTCAGCCCTTCGCCTTGTTTACTTCCATTTCAGCTGCTTCCCTGGCACTGAGAGAGCTGGGAACCTTTGTGATCCGCAGCCCGTCACCACCATGAGAAACCTGCCAAATAACAGGAGCTAGCTGCTCAAAATCACAAGCAGGGTTCTTTGCATTCGTTTTTCTCGGCTCTGGAAGCTTTGTCTAGAGCACCTCTGCCGACAGAATTACAAGAGATTTGAGTTTGCGTCTGTGGTTCAACTAGAACAGCCATAATAGCAGCACTTATGATAGGGTTGCCTGAAAACACTGGTGTCGCTGGAGCCTTGCCCGTTTGGGAGCAGTAATATCACAGGCCATTAGCCTTCGTGTATAGTGACATTTCATCTCCTTACGTACTGAAACCACTGATGTGAGATATCACAAGGCGCTGTGGGTAATGATGTCATGCCACTGCTTTGCCGTAAAAGTCTTTAACTCGCATGACAGACCTCATTCCGCTCACTTGCTCTGCATCCATAACGTAATTACGGCATGCTTACAGCGGTGCTGTGTTCGTGTGCACAGGGTGATGGGATTCAACATTGCAAAAGGTTACAGAAAGAAAGAGGAATGAAAAGCCTTTCTGTGGAGTACCATTTCCCAACTTGGGTTAAAGTATCTGACGCCAAACTATTGAAAATTTCAACAAATTACATTTCTCCCTAAAGACAATTCAAAGACGTAATAATTACTGACGTAAAAGCTGAACATAAAACATATAGATATACAAGCAGAACACTTCAAAATTGTGGAGAATATTAATGAAAACAAAAACAACTCTTTTTATTCAGCAACAATAATAACAGTTCAAAACCAAAAAGGTCTAGCAAAGGATAATGCAGACTTAAAAAAGAGAAAATCCAGTCATTGTTTCTGCTTATCCACAGGTTTAGAAAATCAGTTCGGAAGAGAGAAATAGTGGTACACATTTGGAACAGGTGAAAAAAGTTTTGAGGTTTGCTGTTTGTGTCCATTCATAACAGAACTGCAAAATGTTTCAAAGTATTAAGTTTTGGCTTTGTTTGGAAAAGACCTACAGTCTTTGTAAACACTGTGGTGCTGGGGCACCACTGTAAGAACAAGAAATTCTTTGGGAATTATCATTTGTCATGAAGCACTCATGCACTCATATTTAAGGGACTTACAGTATGTGTGGTGATGTCCAATTTTAGACATTCATACCGGAGGGAGAGAAGAGAGACTTCAATTTTCAATGGCCTGGAAAACTTGGTGTTAAAGTATATCCCAGACTGAGTGCATAATCCTTTGGACCCCTTTTAAAACAGTGTGGGTAAGAAGCCTAACACAAACATTTATAATGCTGCTTGATGGGTGTCAGCATATAGTATCTCATATCTGAGATACACAAAACTGTATGGCACACATGTTGCTCTTCACTCACAGAGAGTTGAAAAGGGCTAGCGTTCTGTTGAACACAGAGAGGACCCCAGTACCTTCCTCAGTGTTTGAAAAGCAGTATGAAACAAGAAACCCAGTTTGTTTTGTTTGGTTTGCTGTTATGCCATTTGAGCTGTGTAATGAGATCAGGACTCTTCTAAATCAGTGGAAGACACTCAACAAAGAATTAGGTTATTAAAGAAAAGGAGGAGCATTGCCTTTTTTCCCTTATCTTGTTTGCCTCCACCTTTCCTCATTAGAAGACTGGCTGAAGCAGTGTAGTACAGGGAAGTTGCAACCCTTTTTACCATGCTTTGAGCACATCTCTGACAAACCTACAGAGAAAAGAGGTTAAACTGCATATCCACAACATTAAAGACAGTTCAGGGCTGAGCTTAGTTTTTTAAAGCATAAAAGAAAACCACCTTTTGGTGTTAAATGAGTCACTCTTTTTTCATTGTTATTGGTCCCCTATTTTGTTGTTAATAAACCAGGATATACTGTACTGTACTTCCCCAGTATTATCAAGTGCCTGTATTAAATGCCCTGCTTTCATTCACTGGAAGGAAAAATGGAATCCCTTTGAAGACTAATTAGTGATTAAAGATCTTAAAAGCATTTAATTCTCCATTGGAACTAGTTGTAGCAGTGAATGCAAGGTCCTTTATTGGATTAACTTCAAGACAACATACCTGTCTTAATGTGATTACTGACAGTACTACTGTTTCAAAAGTTCTCAGACAATACGATGGAGAACTCAAATGGCATAACATTTTTGTCCATATTGTTCAACTGAACAAAGAAGGAATCATATTAACTCAAAGTCTGAGTATTGAAAATAATTAAGCAGTGGCGGATGAATGATCACATAATCTAATGCAGCCATTCACATTTACACACAATGAAATAGCAATAAAATAGGTAACAAAATAGACAAGCATCCTAATTAACAACTTGGGTTAAAAAACCATAAGTGGTTTACTAACTAATTAACAGGGAAGATAAAATAGTATTTTATTGTAAATTTTGAAATGTTTGGGGAAAAAAGGGGTCTCTCTCTCTAAAATCCAGATCCAGTGAGTGAAAGTATACTAGTCACGGGGAACAGACTGACTCCCACAGTGAATATCTAGGCTTGGTTCACACATAGTGTCACACCGCTGCACTGACCTGATAACGGAGCGGCCATGAAGCATGAGGCAGAAGATTGAATCCAGTTGCAGGTTCCGTAGTTGAGCAGACTGTAGTAGGCAGGCAAACATGAACCTAAAGTCCAAAACAAGAACCAGAGTCGTGGTTGAATAAGCAGGGGTCAAATCCAATGATTTCCCAGACAAAGCATGAAGGAGTAACGAGTAAACAACCTGCGGTTGAAGCATAGGTGTTAGTCCAAAGCAGAGCCGACAAGCAAGGTTAATGCACAGAGAAGCAATTGGGATGTGGAGTTAAGGCATGTGGGAGTGTCTGAGACAGTGGCTTGAATCTGGCGTCAAACTGTACACTGCACTGTGGTACTGGTACATCTGTGAGTCTGGATGCTTATCAGTCAGTGGGCTTGCTGCAAAGTTTAGGGAAGAGGGAGTGTGATGAGCTCACACCTGGAGAAGGCTTCACACCCGAAACGTTGTGTTTTCTCTCTTCTCTTTTTAGCATGGAATAAACCTATTACTAGTTCCTTTGCAGACTACACATGCTGATGCAGCTTCCCATCTGAACTACATTCTACAGTAATACTGTATTTCTTTCCAAGACACTCAGAAGCATTAAATTCACACTTTAGAAATGACATGTTCCCAACATGAAAACTATGGATGAAAGTGCTACTTTGTGAAGACTCCCTGAATATTCACAGGAGTGTACATACTGTATACAAAATAAATTAATTATTCAGAAAACTAATATACCAAGGGAATATAAGGAAATTTACACACAAGCAATGGCCAATCAATCAATCTAGCTCATTCAGTTGCTAGAAGTTAAGTGATGCAAGGATTAATATAAATTAAGAAAAACAGTGGTCCTAATACAAAGCCTTTAATATTCCGTTAATACATCACCCCAAACTGACCTCTTTTCTGTACTCTGTTTTCTATCCATTAACCAGTGCCCAGTCCAAACACCCACATTACCTTGAATACCCTTGACTTGAGAATTAATCTCTCAAGTATAAATTAAAATAATTAATACTCTAATTGTATGAGAAAATGTATTAAAAAAAACTTATTAAAATCAAAATAATTGTCACATGCTCTGGCATATTACTGTTGTTGCTCATTCGAAGTACTCTAACAAGTTAGTTTAATAAAAGCTTCCTATTATACCATATAGATGATCCTCTGTTTAGTTCAAATTGTTATTTAAATAACCTAACATGTAATAGAGGTAGGACTTGTTGGTGTACAATCACTTTGTTCAGTTTAGTCAGCATTTTTTAAGGATGGGTGCTACATAAGCAATTTTCCAAACAATGGATATTAGCCTTGTCACTGGTGATTATTGGACTGTTGGGGTGCTTAACAGTCTATCAATATCTTTTCTACTTATGCCTTTTCTATAATAAAACTTTTGAATACAGAATTTAGTTTTTGCTCAGCCTGAGGCAAGTTATTGATTACTTACACAATAGATGTCTGAGCTAATTGTTGATTTAATATACAGTTTTAAAAGTTTGCCATTATTATCTCTGTGTGGACTTAACTTTATTCCTTACTGTTCTTTTGCTCTTGCAATATACAAAATATATATATATATATTTTAATATTTAAGCCTCCATTGCAGCTTCTGTCTTGGTTTGTCTAATCACCTTTTTTGCATATGCTAAAAATATATTTATTCAGTTTCTTTAACTGGATCTGATTATTTTTTAATCATTTTATAGAGTGCTTTTTTTCTCCTTATGTTTTTTTTACTTAATTGATTGGTCTGACCATTTGGTCCACTGCTTTCTTGCCATTGATATTATTACTCTTGTTCCTCTCAGTGTATTCTCACTGTTCCTTGCTTCAAGCAGAGTATTTCTAAGCTGTTTCCTCCATCCTGTGCTGATTTAACATGTATTGTATACCATTCTGTTATGTTAAACTCTAGTTTATTTCTTCATAGTCTTTAGTCCAGAAATGATAAACTTTTGTGCTTGCACAGCATAACATATGATCACCATTTTTTAATAGTTCCATAATGAGTGACTGACTACCTCAATGGTACTGAATGTACCTGAATGAAGACTAAAGTCCATCTCTGTCATTTTAAGCTTAATCATGTACTAATTCTTAATTTAAAAAGAAGATCAAATACTGTAGTTAACTGCAATTCATGATATGATTTCTTTTCTACAAGGACTGTGTTTGATGGCTGCCTAGTTTAATCTGTACTGCATTATCATCCTCGGCAGTCTGAAACGTTACAGTCATATAAACAACAGTCTTGTGAAAGATGGAAGAAGGTGGTGGGGAGAGAGGCAGTCAGTATTTAACTATACAGAAAAAAAACATTTTTTAAAATATGACAATTCATTGCAGTAAAAATGGATCTTATCTAGCAGGGTAATAACTTTTGTACAAGTTTAGGCATTCCTTCACTGAGCAATATTAATAACTTTTCTTCACAGTTCGTAAGCAGGCGTTCATCTTAGTCATTTTGAAGCAAAGGTATTTTTTGTATGACATACTGTACCGTAGAAAGCGTGATGCGATTTCACCTCTCCTCCTTGAATGAATGCATTGCTGTTCTCAGGAATCTAAACTTCACAAAACAGCCAACCAAATGAAAGTGAGCAGCCAGGGAAATGTTTTAGATTGCTCTTTGTTTCTGATCTTAATGGTGCTGTGACTAATGGACTCTCTGCTTTCAGTGCAAAAGGACTTGGAAATATGAACCCTGTCCTCTCAACAACAAAAAAACACAAGTAAAACAAACAAAACAAAACAAATATAGCCATCCATTAAAAGTGCTATTAGCTGAGAGGGAGTTTCTTATTTACTTTGTGGTTCTAGCTGAGCAATGTCTCAGAGTGGGCATCTTCAGATTAGCCCATGATGCTTGTACAGAGGGCTGTATTGAGAAAGAGCCTTGGATTAAGGAATTTTGAGCTAGCCAAACAAAATCAGGTCAGTCGAAATATGAAAAAACTCTTCCTTCAATGTTCTGGGCTTTCAAATCTTAAGTAAAGGTCCAGTCACACTGCAGGTTTTTACATTTGTTTAACATTTTGCTCCAGGCTTGTCACGGTGCCTGCTTGGCCCATGATTTGCCATGCTGTTTCAGAAAGCACTGCTTCGGCAAACAAAGATTCCTTAATGTGGAAATGTGAGAAACAGTGCAGGGGGGGCTAATACTGGTGTAACACAAGGTTCAGGGAATGGGATCGTCCCTATTGGATTTCTGAACACTGACATCAGTTTGATTCCTCAACTTTCCCTATGAGCGTGTCATCTCTCACAAGGCTGCTCAGAAGCTGTTTCCTCTGGCCTATTTAATTACTGTAGTATGCCAGATAAGCTTCCGAGCAGGCATAAAGGAGGAGGGTGCAGGATATAGGATATCTCACAAAGAACTAGCTAAATAAGAGACATAAATGGTGCTTCTAATTTCAGCTCAGATGTGTACTGAAATCTGCCACATCTTTCCAGTGTGCTATCTTATCTTACCCAGAGAATCAGCTGCTGGTATTTGAAATATTTTCTTTTTCTATAAAAGTGCTATTTTTTTTATTAGGCTTTCACCAGGGTGCCTGTCTTTTCCCCGGAGCAAGACAGTTATGATGCAATAAAAGCCCTGTGAAGTTTAAAGAAACAGAAAAGGCTGCAATAAGAAAGAACAGCTAGGGATGCCAGTAAGACAGTTGCGGTTTTGTCTGTTTCTGGCTGACCATCAGCCCACACTGAAGTAACATACTTTGGTGAGACAGACTTGTAACAAGAATTGATAATAGAGCATTTAATAGAAAGGAGAAGTGGAAACAATGGAGGTCTTTCATCTGTATTATTAGTATTCTACCATTAAAATGATTACAATAATACAGTATGTGAGGTAGACATACTGTACCTGAACAGTACTTGCTATAGTTCTGGTATCACACCTATTTATGCTATTAGTAACAATTCTGAAGCCTGTACTGTATGTGTTTAGTGACCTGTGACGTGGTCCCTGCTGCTACATGAGAGGTTGCTTATCACACCCTGCAGCTCCCCTGCTGGCCTGAGTCTTTCACCTGAGCTCTACGTCTCAACAAAGTGCAGTGAAGCTCCTGACAGTGATTTGCCCCTATGGATAACAGTTCTTCCTCCTCCCTCAAGCAGGTTAACTCGGCTTATAAATAACTATCTGTGTTAGAGTCTGTGATTCTCTGATGTGAGTCATGCTTATGCAGCATGTTTTTTCTGCACCGTTCTGCTCCTGCTGTGCTTCCACTCCATGTTGTGTAAGTTCAGTTCTCGATACAGCTTGATGATTTCTGTCCTTATGCTGCTTTCAAGTGGCCTAACTGATTTTTTTATGGCAGTTTTTTTCACCACCTAGGTCACAGGAGGTTATTTCATTTAGATATCTATTTGTGTTTATTGCTGTGGTTGCTGTTTGACTTTTAAGCTTGCCTGAGGACAGCAGGGATGCACTGATGCCCTAAAGAGGAGGAGACCAGGCTATTGTAAAGAGGTTCATTATTCTAGGTAGAAATGCAGGGCATTATGAGAAAGGAAGATTCTGCTGCCAAGGACAAAGAAACACCCGGGGGATGAATCTGACAGAAATCTCCCAAGAACTAAGAAAAGAAGTGTATTGACAACAACATCCCTCAGTCCATATTCCAAGTTCAGTATGCAGATTGGAGTGAGGATGGGAAGTGGGAGGCAGATCTCTCCACAAAGAGGAGAGGAGGTGTTGAATAAATTACCAGACCATGCTGTTGGGGCTGATTCACTGGGATTGCACAAGAACCAGCCTGCTGGCACTCTCAGATCAATAATCTCCCAGCAACCTAATCAGCAACAGGAGCTAAATGTCCCCTTTTCATAACTTCTCTTTCAGAATGCTTTTCATTTGCCAGTCTTTAATGAAATCAAGCAAGCACCTTGCACAAATGAATATTGTACAGTTAAATCCAACATCCAGTTACATGCTGCACTTGAATTGAGGATAACAACATTACAGCCTAGATGGTTTTATAACCTTTTTCTTAAATTAGATTTCATTGACAAGATATGGGAATTCTAGAGTAGTCAAGAGGCACTCAGGAATCCACTTGACTGACTTGAACAAAACAATGCTTACTCACATAGCCAACATTTTACACAAATACTACCACAACTTTGGTTGGACGTTTTCCATATAAAATATAACCAATAGCACAGGCCATGTATACAGTACAGATCACTTATGTCTTATGTTCAACATACTTACTGTTCAACTTGAACTTCTGCTGTTGTCAGTGATAATGTGGCTCTGAAGTCTCATTGGGCAGAGTTTTGGAATAAAGCTGTTCTTGTATTTTTAGAAACTAAAAGATTAGACCACATTTTGGCCACACATGGAAGCTCATCTATTGTTCCAGCTGCCCAGGATACTAGACTTAACAATTGTAATTTTTTTATAATTTTGTACATTTTATTTTTTACCTCAGGAAATAAATGTATTGTTCATTAAAATGTACAATACTACACAGCCTTATAAAAGGTCACTTATTTTTATATGGCCACAAAATGTATCAAAAGCCTTTATTTGAATTTATATTCAGAATCACTTAGTTTAATAAAGATTGCTTATAAATTCAAAAAGTCAAATAATTTTGTCTTTATTGTGCCTTATTGTGCTTAGTTAATTCACTTGTATTGTTCTAAGAAACTGAGGAAAAATCTCATTGATGGTTATAGTTTTAGTAAATAATATTTATGGTATTTATGAAAATAAACAAATTACTGGTTTCGTGACTGTGTGTAGTTACTGTAGTACTTTATGATAGTGAAACAGGCGCATAGAGCACACACTACTGTAGCGTGTCACTGTACAGATGCCTGGTCACTGCCAGGGAACTGCATTATTTAGGTAATGGAAAACTGCGGTATCACAGTCCAGGTATATTCGCCGGATTAAACATTGATAGCTTTTCGTTTTGCTTGGGTGCTCCACTGAAAGTTTAGATAAATAATTATGTTAATGTTTTTTTTGTTTGTTTTAAAAGGTTACTTCGAGACTATTTTTTCTTACTGCAAAACAATCATCTTAAAAGTCACTAATCATAACTGAATAACCTTCAATTCCTTGTCAATAATGAATGGTTTGGGCCTTGAGGCCCAGAAAATTGCTACCTCAGGGTTGGAAACTTTAGAATGTGTTTTTCAAGCAAAGCATGTTACCGTGCTTGTTTTTTTTTATCGCCAAGCATATGACAAGTTGTCCCTTTAAATTCAAAGATGGGCGTTTACGTGATCCCCATTCATCTATGTATGACGTATAAATGGCATCAGCACCTTGGATACCAGAGAGCCAGTTACGGATGGTTACTACCCAATTTTTATCCAATCAGCGGCGGCCCCGGACTTCTTCTGCAGGAGCAGCCTGACGAAGTACTACTCCACTACAAACTCCTTTTAGTGTATCGCTCCGCAGAGGGCCTTTGCTCGCACTCTTCAAGTTGATTAAAACCAAATAAAGCTGCGTTTTTGTTTTCTCTGGCAATTTCAGTTCTTACAAATTATCTTGAGTGTGATCTAGCCTTGGATATTTTTTGTGTAAGGAAAGGTAGGTGTTTATTTTATTATTTATATTGAAATATAGGAAAGTCACTGTTTTCTTCCGGCTCATCTTTTCTCAATCCTCTTTACTAAATGGCTTCAGATCACAGCAACCGAATTTAAATTAAATGTACCTGTTAAATTATGCAACCTGAAATAACAGTGTAAACACTGCAGAACTGTCGTGTATCTAGTTCGCTTTAAAATCTGATAAATACACAGGTTAACCTTAGATTTAAAAACAGGAGAAAGCACAATATGCTTCATGCTAGTGTTATACCTTGCTAATTTGTGGGGAAAAGGGGAGTTCCACGTCTAAAATTGTATTAACGTAACTAGGATGAACAATCTGGTAATTTCAGGAGTATTTAAATCCCTAAATATACGGGTTTAAAGCTCATTTTATTGTCAGGCACTGCGGACTGTCGTTTCTGTCCTTCCATTCGGACAGCCAATGACTGGTTTGAAGGGCGGTGCTGGGGTGGGGGGAGGCTTTATGACGCAAAAGCTATCGCGTTTCTAGGAATTCGAGAATCTCGATTGACTGTGGTTCTTAACCAACGAGAAAAGAGGACTGCTCGAGAGAGTAGGCGGGACAAAGGGAAAGTGACCAATGGTGGTCGTCAGAGTGAAGCTCTGCGTGTTTTGACCTCTGAGAACCGCATCACCGCCTACCGCGTGCCTGTCGGAGGGAAGCTATAAAACGGGGACAGCTGACAGCTGATGGGACAGAGTTGTAAAAACTCCCAGGCGGTGGGGAGTCAGGTAGCCTGCAGAGAGAAATCAGCAAGAGCTAAAAATAATAATCTACAAACATTCATACGGACTGGAATACCCTTTTTTAAACTTAACTATAAAAATTGTATATGTCGGAAGTATTTATATATTATTCACTTTTTCTAATTGCACTACTTCAAAAACACTGCTGTGAATTTTCCCTTAAAAAGAACAGTAAGTATGTGTTTTTTTTTTTGTTGTGCTTTAGTTGTGCGCTTTAGGTTGCGTCGAAAGAACCGTTTTATTTTGCTTTTGCGAGGTCGAGGGGATATTTAAAACTACGTCAGCTGTGCGAGGCTCCCTGGGCGAAGTCGGTGTGCTACCATGTTTTTATCATCTGCGACATTCTCCAACTTTGCACTTTAAGTGACTTTGAAAACCCTGCAGTGGATTGAGTTGCCGGGGGTAAATTGTTTTGTAAGAATAAAGCCTTTTAAATGGAATGGTTGGCGTCTACGTGTGTCCCTGATGAAGCTTCAGAGGTCATCTTTGCGGACAGTAATCGGGAAGCTTAATGCCTGGTAGCAGCCGAGTACGGGGGAGGTTTAGTGTTTGAAACTGTGCATAAAAAAAACGGGGACACACGCCTCTGAACAGTGCAATTAGGGCGTCTAAAATATATTTTAGACTACAGCGTGTGTTCACGGTTAGGATTTCTAAGTATAACTTTATATGCTTTTTCCGAGTCGATTTATAGTCTCTCGGTCCACTCCATCGCCTTTAGCTGGAACATAACGTTTTTTGGGTTGTTGACATACCCTTGTTTCCGCGAGGTAAAATGGCTCTTCGAGCAGCAGCAGCAGCAGCTGCGAGTTTGTGATAAGAAATTTAATGAGAATCAACCATTTTATTATGTAACACGCCGAGTCCCCGAGCACAGGCGCTGCGTATCCCGACTCCCCCTCTTTGCTCTCTCCTGCTTTTGTCGCCGAGAAACCAGCACCTCGGAGCTCATAGATCTCGATGCCTGTTTTCGTCTTGCAAATTTTGAGTTATATTAAGTTATGGGTGGAGGGGGGTTGATCGCGGTCAGCAATAAACACGGTGTAGAGATCAAGCAGTGTTGTGAACGGCAACCAGCCAAACCCCGCATCTCTCTTCTTATT